GAATACAAGCATTTTATTTTGTTAACATGCATAGATCTGATAAAAATCGAGCGGTGTATTTTCCTTTGCTCTTGCAACAAATATTGGTATTCATATAACAAATCGGCTGCAAACGTAAAAAATAATAATAATCATAAATAAATTTAATATTACTTTTATTATATATAATCTGTTGTATTATTTAACCCTTTTATTCTCTTTCCTGCAATTTTCTTCAGATTTATTTTTGTTTTCCTCACAAGGGCCTAATGATACCTTATATTTCATCAACGTGTATACGCTACTGAGGACTTCTACGGATAGCTTACTGCGCATGCACTGGGACTAGCCAACACTGGATGGGGTATTTTGTGTTAGATTAAGTTTAGGTTAAGTTAGGATGGGGTATGTTGCATTAGATTGGTTTAGGTTATGTTAGGATGGAGTATCTCGTTCTATTAGGTTCAAAATAAGTTAGAATGAGGTATTGCTTTAGATTTTAGATCTTCTAAAGACTTTTATGTGAGACAAGGAATATTTCACGCGAATAAAAGGATGTATGAATGCTTTTTTTTATTGACAATCGTATTTACATTTTTTTAATCATCCTGCATAGCATGTCCACTTGAATTGGTTGACTCGAACGTACACGATTTTATCGGTGTACATTAGCTTCACGATTATTTATTGTATGAAACATAGCATTGTGGTAAATTATTATATAGTACTGACAATACAGAAACAGATTTATCATAAAATGAAATATTGAACGTTGAGATAAGTACTAAAACTTTAAAATAAAAAGAAAATATTATTGCATTATAACACTTTCAGCAATAGAAAATTAATTTTTTTTTAATCGAATAAAATCTAAAAACTTTTACCAGAAAAACATTTGTTAGTATCACGCTGTTTCTATATTGTCCTGTTAACTTTAAGTATTAAGCCGCGTGAAGTGGCATGCTCTTGCTGCACAACCTTTTAGGGAGTACTAGCTCTTGAATTATCGTATAAAATATTTCTTTCATAAATAACTCTTAACATTATTGCATACGTTGTTTCACAAACTGCTTATGTGAGAATTACAAACAGAAATACTGAGAACATTGTATAAGAGGTAGGGAGAACGTTCCTCCTTAAAAGATGTGTGCGTGAGAAATTACTTGCTGCTTGGATCACACTAATATTTTACTATTAGTTTACAATAAACATAGCATTGATTTGCTAAGAGATCGGTCAAATTCTTCTTTGAAGTAATGAAGATAATCTCAGCACCATTATCCTACAAGGACAACTAATCTTGCTCGCAACGCGTACGAGTATTGACAAGAATTAAACTTTGGTGCACGGCGTAATTCATGTGCAATAATAAATAAAGTTGCTGCAATGTAGTGACAGATATCGGTAACTTTTCCTCATCGATCGTGTTCGTTCCTGTTCAAAAAAAAAAAAACAAACAAAAAATTTCGCACAAATAGGCCAATTTTTATATACATTAAAACGAAAACTAATGAAACTAAATGATATTTACTTTAAAAAAAGATCTAATAGGAACGAATTGCGGGTGGAACCGTTGCACATTCTTGTTTATCTAACGTGTTATCTATTACTGGTCTGAAATCAATAGAAACCTGTAAAATAGTTTTAATTAGTCGAGTTATACGAAACAGAAAAATTTACGTGTCATATTATACAGAAGCTAATGTTACCTCTCCTGTTCTCGGTTCGATCTTTGTAAGCGTGTGTTTTCGCCAGTGTTGATCCAGTGGTTTTGGTTGTTGGCCTTTTAATGGTTTACTGTAATCGTACTCGTCAATTCTATCTTTGAAATCTTCGCGTGCATGAGCTCCGCGACTTTCTTTCCTATTTTCGGCAGCTACTATTGTTTGCATAGCATTGAGCATTAAATTCTGTAATTCTAGTGTTTCTACAAGGTCAGAGTTCCATATCATGGATCTGTCCGCCACTTTCAAATCGTCTAACTTTTTGTAAAGAGCAGACATCTTTTGACAGCCTGAAAAAAATTTTATTATTTTATTAATTCACTCGTACGTATTTCTAGAGATATTTTATATTGTTATTGTAATTGTACCTTCTTGTAAAGTTTCAGCTGTCCTGAATACAGCTGCGTGCGTTTGCATGGTTTTCTGCATCGTTAATCTTAACTCCGCGGTAGAAATACTACCGTTCGCATTTCTAACCTTGTCTAAATTGGCTACACTTTCCTCTCCGGCATTCTGAAACATATTTATGTCATGATACCTAGTTTTCATACTGCACTGAACTATAGTTATCGCAAAAAAGAATACTAACGGAGCTTAGAGGTCCAATTTTTTCGCTTGGCTTGTTCTCTTGTGCAATTGTTTTAGCGCATGCACGTCCAAACACAACTAAATCTAACAAAGAATTGGCACCGAGACGATTAGCACCATGAACAGATGCACAAGCTGCCTCTCCACAAGCGTAAAGCCCACGGACAACGGTGTCCTCGTTATTTTTCCTAGTTAGAACCTGTCCCTTGTAATTTGTTGGTACTCCTCCTATACATTTAAAATGATTATATTAAATTACTACCTAGTAATATTTTCATAAAGTAAAAAACCTACCCATATTGTAATGCACTGTTGGTATAACAGGAATAGGTTCTCTTGTTACATCAACACCTGCAAATATCATTGCTGTTTCCGAAATTCCAGGTAATCTAGTAGCAAGTTGTTCAGGTGGTAAGTGGTGAAGTTGCAAATAAATGTGATCTTTCTCGGGACCAACGCCTCTAAACAATTTTAAATTATAAATATAGATACATTTTTATTAGCTTATATAATTCTTATATAGGATCTTTTATTCAGTATTAAATTGCATAATACTCAAACACCTCATGTACACCGGTTAATAAAACTTACCTGCCTTCCCGGATTTCAATGGTCATAGATCTAGATACAACATCCCTAGAGGCTAGATCCTTCGCGACTGGGGCATAACGTTCCATAAACCTTTCACCTTCGCTATTTACAAGATAGCCTCCTTCACCACGGCTACCTTCTGTGATAAGACAACCAGCGCCATATATTCCTAAAATTCAATGGATATAAAGTTATATACACAATGAATGATTCAGACAAAAGTTGTATCAATGATTCAGTATTATTTCATACCAGTAGGATGGAACTGTACAAATTCCAGATCTTGATTAGGTAAATTAGCTCTAGATACCATTGCAGTACCATCACCGGTACACGTATGAGCAGATGTACAGGAGAAATATGCACGTCCATATCCTCCAGTTGCTAATACAGTATTTTTAGCGTGGAATCGATGGAGCGATCCATCTTCTAAGCAAAGAGCAATGACTCCACGACATTCTCCATCTTCCATGAGCAAATCCAGAGCAAAATATTCAACAAAATAGTTGCAGTCATAGCTCAATGATTGACCATACAATGTATGCAATAAGGAATGACCTGTTCTGTCAGCCACACAGCAACACCTATGAGCTTGACCACCTTTTCCAAATTTCAGTGATTGTCCACCAAAGGCACGCTGGTATATTTTACCTAGAATGATAACAATTATTTCAATGTAAATTTTAAGTTTAACCAGACAAAAATGTATATACTGATACTTCTGTAACAAGAAAACTATATGATATATAAGAAACAGTCACATCAGCAAAACTGCAACAATATTTTAGACACATGGCAACCACAAGCAGTAACTTGTTATTTTTTAAATGTCATTTATAAATTTGTAATAAATTTTTGATACTGTAATAAATTCTAACAATATAAATATTTGTTATTCAAAGTAATATATTTTGTGTAACAAATATGCAGAAACAGTATTTTTGTAATTAATAAACTAAAAGATATGAATTTCAGTTATGGAGAAGAATACAAAACAAACCTATGAAGATTCTAATGAAGAAAATCAGATAAACAAGTCAAGTAATGAATATGAAGCAGATTTTATTAATCAACCACAACGAATCGACGAATCTAGCTCAAATTATAAATCCAAACAAAATAAGTAATTTATTCATTTCAATTATTCGTTTCCATAATTGTTTGATCTAAATGAATAATTATCTATATATTTTAAGGGCAGTTTCGCATTATACGTCTCAGCACAATCAACGGGAACGTACGCATTCCCGTTCTCGTTCACCGAACAACATAAACAGTCCTAAAAAATGGATAAGCTCAAATGCTTTTATCAATTTCGTACGAGACTTGAGACATGTAAATAGAGAGATTAAATCATTAAAATGAGATTAAATTAGCAATTAATAAATGAAAATTATTTATCATGTATCATTTACAGAAGTCTTCGGGTGAAAAGAATACAAAGCTATTTCAAATAGCTGGAGAAAAATGGCGAAAAATGTCTTTTGAAGAAAAACAACCATATGTAAATGCAGCTCTCAGCATTAGAAATCGGAAAAATGAGCAGAAGAATCAAGAATTAAGTAGATCTGAAACAAATGCAGAATCTGCGAAGAATGAAAATACACCAAAACAAGAAACTGCCAATAAGAAATCAGCAAAGAATAAACAGGTCAATTTTTTCATTTTGTGAAAACATTTCAAGTGTTCTAACATTTATAAAGAACATGCATCATTATAAAAATATGTTTACATTGCAGAAATCCAAAAAAGGCACCAAAAATGAAAGTAACACTGAATCAGATGATGGTTCAATTACCTCAGGCACAACAGCATCAGTAACAAGCGAGGATACATCGGATTCAAATTAAAAAACAAACAGCAACCAATTATATAAATCCTAATGTAACTTCTATCAATTTGTATTCCCATTTGTAATTTGTTATTTGGTAAATGAAATTGTTGAATGAATATACACTTATACATCATATAATACTGACAGAAATGCGTCTTTTATATAAAATATAAAGTAACAATTGTACTTTATAATAACATTACCATCAGAAGTTCTACTGAAAGGCATGCCACAGTTTTCCAATTCTATGACTGCTTTTGGAGCTTCACGTGTCATGTAATGAATGGCATCTTGATCACCCAGCCAGTCAGAGCCCTTAACAGTATCATACATATGCCACTGCCAGTTATCTTCTTCCATGTTACCCAAAGCAGCATTGATACCTCCTTGGGCCGCGACAGTATGTGACCTTGTAGGAAACAATTTAGTGACCACCGCTGTTTTAAATCCCTCTGCAACCAAGCCATAAGCTGCACGTAATCCTGCTCCACCAGCACCCACCACAACAGCATCATAAGTATGATCTACCAATGGATACTGTTTAGAAACGGCATCAGAAATTTTTGCAGCTTTGCCATCTGGTGTGTAATGAAATTTACGATTTGTAATCACAGATAATCCCAGCTTATTCTGAAATGATAGAAGAAAATTGTGAAATTATAGATGGCTTTTATTTATAGCATACATCTATGCTTAGTACATATATAGTAATGTTACTGCATTGCATTAATGATCTATTTATAAAACGCTGAACAGGTTTAGAAACCAACTTGAAAAAAGTAACATGACACTGTTTCATTCATTGTAAAATTGATCTTGTTTCATTCGTGATATATCAAATAATTTCTTTTTAGAACACGTGTTTCACGATATAATCATAAACACGTACTAACTTATTTAAATTGTTTAGAATACTAAAAATGACTGCTGGGAACAATTAATACCGTTATTATTGAAATATAACAATGATATCTTAGTGAAATATATTAATTGATTAGTTACGACACATAAGCGAGGTTAGTAAAGTTTCAATTTTATCGAAATACAGTACAGATGCATTAAGTATCCACTAATTATTAAATACATTAATCAATGTTTGAGAACCGATTACTTGTGTTAGAGCAATTATTCATATTAAATAAAAAATGAAGATTACACAGTGCAAGCGCAGTGATGCAGCTTATGTACACCCACGTGCAAGGATAGCTTTCATATTTTTATTTTCTGCGCGTCTTATACATTTTCATAATACTTCCTTATCACTTGCAACTGCAAGCGATTAATACGTATTTTTGATTAAATATGTAAAAGAATTTTGCAGACTTAAATAAATTTGAATACAAACTTAAGTGCCATTCATACATGAGCGATATAGATAGCGAATGTACTGAAAAAGCATAACAGAACCTTCCACCACTATTAAAATTCATCCTGGATCTGTACACACAAGAACAGGAGGGATATCCTACAAAACATTTGAAATCGATCAACACGAGTAGCATGTGCATGGTGGGAGGTCATCTTCCCCTACACTTTCCCTTAACCGAGAAAAACCATCTATGCACGCGGTCATACATGATTCGCCATATGGAGACTAACAGAAATATGCAATCAATGAAAAGTTATTCTTTCGTAATATATTTAAATTTGAATCGTTTACATTTAACTAACATGCCAAGAAAACGTGTAACTATATTACAATGTATTTATATTTAGAATGTTTCATTAGATACCGCTACATACAGGATAAATTAACGGGATCCAGATTTAGTACTTATCTAAAACGATCGTATTGCGCATATATTCACAACGAATTTAAGAATTCAAAATTGAAGTCAGTAAGTTCATAATAAACGTAATCATAAGTTAAAGAGTGCAATTTCCCGCTAATGTCAGCTTCCCGTGCCGGGTGGCTCATCCGCAATTATAATTAAACTTCTAAAGCACAATATCGTGGCCGGTTTCAATATCGTGTTTGTACCCGATATCGAAACGGGGAGAAAATAAACTACCGTTCGTTTAGGGTAGATAACGGAAATTAGAATTATTGCTACCTACTTTGCAATGAAAAAATAATGTTATTGTGCAGACCGGTTACACCTGCGGGGTGGCGCGTACGAAACGGGGGAAGGTCCAGTAATAAATGATACCCGATGGGGGAATCGTCTGCTATACAGTCCTTTCTCGTTCCTTATCCCGGTCATATCATTGTCAGTTTAATCTTTAAATTTCTGTGATCTACTCGTCAACGTTTTTTGGATGATTCGAAAACATTACGAAACCTTCGTAACCAGCAGAATTTTCCACGATAATCAATACGATTGTTCGTTGATACGCGTTTGACAAACTTACGTAATTAATCGGCGGCGAGTATTATAAAGCAAAGGTGCATCATTGTCGAAATAAAAATTATGTAACTTAAAGAAAATCGTCTTACCAACGTAGTCGTGGGAGGATTTCTTGCTAGCAAAGACGGTAGCTTCAATAAACCACTCATTTTGTGGCGATGTCACCCTTTTTAATCAAGATTTTAATTTAAACAATAACACATACACGTCGTCGTTAAATTTGTGATTTGATTGTACCGTCTAACTAATTCTAATTTTTGTTAACTTCACTCCCGCACTTCTTGCACGGCGACGTGAAGCGTTCGAGTCGCAGTGTTGTGAGACACCGGGTTTTTTCGCGCATGCGCCGCGAAAGTAGCATCAGTGAAGTAAGTGTACGAATAAAAAGGTGTACTTTGATCGCCCATGAGAAATTTTATCAAAATTTCTGTGATATAAAGAAGAATGTGCAATATGTGTGTGTATAAATATTAATATTAACTTATCGAAACTTTGTAATTCACTGGATTTCACTTGAATTTATTTGTTAAAGCATTCACACATGTAACACTACTCGACTATCTTTGCCATACGATAGATACACCGCTGCAATTGGCCATTGCGGCCGCGCGTGCGCGAAATAATCCGACCCGTCTCACAACACTGTCGAGTCGGTTGAGTACCGACTACTGGTGGAAGCTCCCTGATGAATGCTCACCTTTAAGGTACTCGCGAACTTTTTAGTTCGATCTCGTCAATCAGTCCTTCGTATTCGTCGTTCGTTTTAGATACCGACAACATATACTCGCTCCAATATTGCTCTTTACTCTGCTCAAATTTCAAAGCCAACATCTTGAACAGTAGCTAACTGTAAGCGGGAAAATTAAACGATACCGCGAAAAAATCAAGCGGTTCTCATTCCACGTTGTATACGATGGGGTGTTAACGGTATTTCGAATTATATGTTCGTGTGTGTTGATTTAGAGTTTTAGAGGCACTTGTTATAGATCGTATGATATGTTCTATATTTTAACCTGTGCTCTAAGTGATGAATATTGAACTAAAGGACATAGGTAGCCCTAATGCTATTGACGTCTCTGTGTTAATGCTATGAACAGTGAAAGGTAACCGTGTAACCAAAACTTGATTTACATTTGATAACCATGATTCTCTGCGGGTCAAATTGTTTCTAATTTTATAGATTTCTAAACTTATAGATTTGAAAGTCTGCAAAATTCCAAATTTGAAAATGTATTATATTGGAATTTTTTACATTGAATATCGTGTAAGCATGAGTTATGGAAAACTGTAAATATGCCGTTGTTGTGATGGGAAACATGAAACCACCGACTAAAAAATCTAATGCTTTATGAGGTTGTTAACACGATTTATACCGGCGCTCGCGCTTAACCAAACTATTTCCTGCAGCATGGGGAAAAAGAGAATAAGAATAAAAATGATTTGTCGCATCACGGGGTTGACGGCACAGCGTGTCTTGTTTCTCTATTGGTCGACTCGTTGTAGGCTCGTCTTCTACACACATAGGTAAAGCTCGTACCATATGGTGGGATATTGTACGCACAGATTTTACTAAGCCTAGCATGATTCAAGTGTTGGCGAGCGTAGGAGTATTTCATGAACAGGTTTGCTTGTGTTCGCACGCTGTGCTTACGTATTTAACAAGTTTGTTCAAGGTATGCCATACGTTCAGCCTTAAAATTATGTAATGATAACAGAAATTCGCAAGATGATAATAACTAGTACTTACAGCAGATGTTTTCTTTTAGGAGACGTCATATACAAAAGTTTTGTTGAATAATTTATTGAAAGTGCCGGTTCTTATTAATTACAAATCATATACAATATATGTATGTTAAATAAATTTGTCACATCTGCTTTTGAAAATACTTTGCAACATTTTAAACGTCAGCCAAATGACAAATAGTGTAATATTTTTTTATTTCAGGAAACAGTAACGTCCTTGTTTTGTTTATTTTGAAGATGAGTTGAAGCTTACGTTCGAACCGACGAATCACTGAAGTTTCAATTTCACAATCATTCATTTTGACTTGCTTCCTGCGAACAATAATTTGTGTGCCTACCTCAAATCAAACAACAGAAAACTCGCGTTCGATCTTAAAACCCGTTCAACAACCATTTCGCACACCGTTTATCGCATTTAATTCCACACGAGGTACGAACACACCATACGCATTACGTAACATCATTTTTATTTCTGCATTGGCCTAAATGATTAGGCTCGTTCAACAGCCACATATTTCGCTACCGGTAGAACCATGGTTGTAAATGTATCGAATTGCTACGAACACGCATAAAATTTTCGTTCGAACGTGAGGTGGATCGAAATTGGTCATAAAAACCGAGGAAATAGTTGCATGTGGGCCCCACTGATTAAAAGCGATGCGTTTCGTTGCATGAATTATGCAGATGAAGTAGCAGACAGGTCTGCGTCTCCGGTCTGAATTAATTGTCAACGACGTGCCGTGTCGAGCGTAGTAAATAAAATACGCACGAAGGTCACAAATTCGACGAGATACTTGTACTTGTCGCGCGTTCACGGTTTCGAGATAACGTGGCAGACAATGACGATATATCGTTGAATATATAACAAGGAAATAAAAAAAAAAGGAAAAAATACAGTTTTTTATTTGGTTGTCAGTACACTCGGACCGATGGTGGAACGTGTTGGGCCTCTGATTCGTCCAATGTCGTGTCGATGACGGGGCGATAGGAAATACTGATCTGAAAGAGAAGGACGTATCTTTGACGTATTCCAGGATCAAAAGAAGTGTAGTTAAGACTACTCGGATCGTTTAGTTAGTCATTTGCGTCAAATGCATTGGCGTAATTAACATTTTACTTTGTGAAATTTTAGTGAGAGTGGAAATTGAAGTTGCAGTCTCGCTATATGGCCCGTTGAGTGACTTATTCAGAGTGGACTTTCATACTTATTAGTGACGCTCTTTATTACTATTGAAGTATTTCTTTAATTTTTATATTTTAAAATTTAAAAATTTGTTTAAGTTTAACTCACATTAATTTTAACTTTGAAATTTAAAAAAATTTTTAATTTTAACTTATATTTTAATTTTAAAATTAAAAAAATTTTCAAGTGTTATATTGAGTGACTAAAAATTTTTCAGATACAGAAATTTAAAATTGGCAGACTAGACCACTGAAGGGGAGGCCTTGTTAGAGCGCTATAGGAGGAAATCCATACATGACCTATAATTTTATACACTCAATCTCAGGGCCATATAGTGCAACTTGCACATTAAGGAAAATTTTCTCTTAGAGTAACCTGTTCCACTTATCGTGAAATTGAAACTCGATTCGATGTGCGGTAATTAACGATAAGGAAAAATGTCAAGCTCGATAACTCACCGTTCCATCATGTTGAACCCACGTGAGCGTGTGTTTGCGCCAGTGTTCACTGTATTTACGTTTCTTTTGGCCTTCGATCGGTTTCGAGTAATCGTATTCATCGATTCTTTCCTGAAAAATAACGTTCTCATTTATCCATATCATTTAGACCTTTTGAAACCATTACACGAAATATGATGCGAAAACCTTATAATCGTCTCGAGCATGCGATCCTCTGGATTCTTTCCTGTTTTCCGCGGCGTAAACTATGTGCATGCAATCTAGCAACATGTTTTGTAATTCTAGAGCTTCTACCAGTTCCGTGTTCCAAATTAGGGATTGATCCTGAACCTGAAATGATATCGTTTTCTTTATTAGATTTTATTCGTTTGTGGAGAAATAAAAGCGTTTGAATTGCAGTTCAGGTAACAGGTTTCGCTGATCGTTTGTGCTGGAGAGATAAAGTTTAATGAACTATATACAATGCTGTGAGGTAGTGGATCTCGAGCGTTATGGACAGACATTAGTTAATAATTACATAACCGCGTTGTATCAGAGATAAGGAAGATAAATGATATTGAAACAGGGAAGCATTATTCTATTTGCATTATTCATTAGTTCAGAACTAGAGGATAGGAATCAAGTGATATGAATATGTAGGAGTATAGGAGAGATAGGAGTATAGGAATTTTAGGATATATGGATTTAGGAACATAAAAATTTGCAGGTTTAGAGATTTGAAGGAGTAGATATTTTTAGGTTTAGGAATCTAGAGATATAAAGATCTACAGGTACAGGGATTTAGGAGTATAGGGTTTTAGAGATATAGAGATTTAGGTGTATAGGGATTTAGTGATATACAGATTTCTGGGAATAAAAAAATGTATATACAAGAATTTAGAAATATAAAGATCTAACTATCTAGGGATTTAAGAGTATAGAAACCTGCAAGTATACTCACTTAGGATATAGAGATCTAAGAGTAGGTATTCGAGGATATTATCCTAAATTCCTACATGGATAAATACCTAGATATTAAACTCATAAAAATGAACTTTGTTTAAATCCTCCATTGTGATGGAATGGAATTTTTAAATTGGTCCATATTTTGTTTAATAAGTTACTGATATTATGAAAATATCATTTGGTATAAAGTACTACAAATGAAATTAAATACCATGGAAAATTTCAACCGCGTTATGTCAATTTTTATATAACGTTTCGTTCGTGTCACGTGCTCCATTGATGGCCGTCGTGTGTTCTCACAATTGCACATGTCAAAATAATTGAAACATATTATTACTATCTATAGAAAGCAAAAAGTACCTATTGAAGCTCAGCTGATTTCATTACAACTTCCGGACGTGTTACAATTTTTATCTGAATATACAACGACAGTCTAAAGTGCGATATACAATCGCAACCGTTTCATTGTGAAATCATGTATAAAACATTACATTGGCAAACTTGTGATTATAGAGTGATGAATAAAATTAATTAGAAATGGTAAGCAATGAAGACTTGCAAATGAAGACATTTTTAAATGAGGAAATTTCTTAATTTGAAATTTGGAAATTTGGGAATTGGAGATTTGGGGAATTGGGAGATTGGGGAATTTGAGAGTAGGGGAATTTGGGAATTGGGGAATTGGGAGATTGGGTAATTTGGGAGTAGGAGAATTTGGGTATAGGGGAATTTGGGGATTTAGGAATTGGGGAATTGGGGAATTGGGAATTTGAGAATTAGGGAAATTTAGAAATTTGGAAATGTGGGAATTTGGAAATTTGGAAATTGGGGAATTGGGGAATTTGGGAATTGGGGAATTGGGGAATTGGGGAATTCCTAAACTTGCAAATCCCTAAATCCTCTAAATTCCCAAATTGCCAAGTCTCTTAAATTCCCAAATAACCTACCAAACGCAAACAGGTATTTTATTATTACATAAATGGTACATTTTGATCAATTCACCTACACATATGTCCGGCAGGTCGCAGGTGAAGAACCGAGTTATCTCGCGACATCCTCGCTGCAATATATCACATGTCCTGAAGACCGAGCAATATCTCTGCATAGTATGCTGCATGTCGTCTCGCAACTCGGCGACAGGAATGCAACCTTTTGCGAAACGAGTCGCATCAAACCGACAAATGATTTCTTCGCCAACCTCCTGCATGCAAACAAAAATCTTTAATATTTTGTTGTAAAATATTATAAAAAAAATTGGTTTAAAGAGAACCGAAACATTATCATACTTCTGATAAAAAAAAAACAAATACATGCAACGATTGTACGAAAATATTATGGCTGTCGGTAGAGTCCGATAATAGCAATGGAATGTTCTTGTATCTGTTTAATTTCCAATGTTGACTAACGGTGTTCGAATGCTTAGACAGTCTGCTTATAGTCTACAGTTTGTTTGAGGGTATCGGAATCGAACACGTATCTGAACAGCGATTAAGAAATATTATTGTGTTTAGAATCGATAATTTTTTCATAGAGACAATTCTAGACCGTTGTGTCTGGAATATTAAATATTGGGTTTAAAACTGTATCTACACTTTGGTAGGGAGTATTTCCAATTGGACAGTGTTTCATCATTCGGCTCTGATATAGGTCATCTGATATAATACGTCGAAAAAGAACAAGATAATTGAAACTGATGTTACTCATGCCTGTGTTGTCGTTCATAATTTTATTTTAAATTGAATTTTTGGCAGATAGGTTAAAAATAAGGATGATCGTATTAACTTATTTTATTCTTTTGTTATTTCAAATGCTTTATACTTTTTGACACTTGAAATTGTTAGTATATTTTGTCATTTAAAATTATGAGTATATATTTAAAATTAGTATATTTTGTTATTTGAAATTAATATCTTTTGTCCCTTTATGTTTGAGGATATATAATAATCTTATGTTATAAAACATATTACTAAAAGAGATTATAAGTATCTTTAAACCTTGTATAGATTACTAATGTTTCGAGTCGACAAGAATTTTAAATTTCCCGCCAATTATACGCAAATCCAGTCCTCTACACACATTTGTCCCCCTCTAGCGATTGCTGGAGGTACATATGTAGAAATCGATATTCCAGTTGAACCCAATTACATATTCATATACATTTTAACCGTTATTTTCGCAAACTAAGAAAACAATTTTATCTCAGAAAGCATTCTTGAGAATAACATTTGATATACTAATCACAAACCATGCAACAGTTTGATGTATCAATTTCAATGAAAATGTGGAGTCAGAATTGTAGAGTATAATTCTAACACTCAAACTGTTATAACAAATACCTTTTCATACTCACAATTACTAAAACATGAGTAACAATTGAAACTGACGAGTACAACACGCCTTATATTGCCACTAATTATAGTGGAAAATAGTGGAAAACAATTATTACCAAACTTAAAGATATAATTTACATCTGCATTTAACATATCACCACCTGATATGTTAGACCTAATATGCAAGACATAAATAAATATCTAACAACGCTAACAAAATATAATTTGCATGCTCTTACGGTTGCCAGATCATCATGACGTTCACCAGGTCTGGTCATACAGTCGATCTGATCGGCTATCGCTTTTCCAAAAACAACCAGTTCCAACAGGCTGTTGGCTCCTAATCGATTAGCGCCGTGTACAGATGCACATGCAGTTTCGCCTGCTGCCCATAGTCCCTCGATTATGCTGTCCTCTTCTTTTTCTCGTGATAGAACCTATCCATAAAATTTATGGTTTAACCACAAATTGTCAGTGAACAGTCATTAAATTAATTTTATTGTCATATGTACGTTCATAGGTTTATTTCTGACAACGTGTATCATCAACTTTGTGCTTATGATAGCACAGAGCTATCATGAGTGTAGTCACACTGAAATCTAGTTATGTAATTGAACTCTAATATGATTTACATATTACTTGTATTACAGTATTTGTATAAATTACAATACAAGTGCTGTATAGTTACTGGTAGAGTGATGGTAGAGTAATGTTTAAACAATACAATCAGAATATAGTATACATAGCAACATCCACTCGTCATCCTTCTCATTACATTCATCTTTTTTAATTTATGGTAACTAAAAGTACAAATAATTGTAACCAAATTTTTCTCCATCTTATGTGACATTGCCTTTCATATATAGAACTTGTCATAAACAAACAAAGATATTTTAAAAAATACTGTCATTTTCACTCTTCAGTTATAATCAATTATATAACAAAGTATCAAGAACCACTAATCGCAACCATCAATATTTCTCCAACATCGCTAACTATAACCATATAAGTGTATAGAAATGCTAACGAGACACGTATTTATTTCCAGAGCATTTCAAAGTTGCCTCATTCGCGATAAAATAGTGCCGCCACTTAATCCCTTAATTTATTGCCGTGTTATGCAGTTTCCGCCGATATTATCTGATCTTATACAATACCTGTGCTCGCCAGTTTGTGGGTATACCACCCATGTTGTAGTGTACTGTAGGTATAACAGGAATTGGATCTGTTTTCACATCCACACCAGAGAACACCCAAGCTAAATGAGAAATCCCTGGCAGTTTCGTGGTGAGTACCTCCACCGGTAAATGATGCAGCTGAAGGTTTATGTGATCCTTCTTGGCACCTACGCCTCTGGATCATTAAGGATAAATGAGTTTGTCGTTAGTTCTGTTTTTCTACTCACCACATGACAAGCATTTACACATACTAATGTGTTGAGATATTTATAGGTTTATATTAATAATGTTTGGAGACTGATTTATCCTGCTGTCCAGCATTTGAGACTTCACAAGTTTTTAACTTTTCTAAGTTACAAATTCCATAATTCTTAGTTTCGTAAGTTTCTAGATTAGGGATTTCTCTACAGAGAAATCTACAAGAAATCTACAAAGATTTCTATACACCTTGTTACCTACATGATCCCTACATTTCTAAACTACAAAATTTGTATATTTCTAAATCTCTAAATTTTAAGGTCCTAAATTTTCTAGATTCCCAAATTTCCACATCTCCAAGTCTTTATGTCTATAAACCACTATACTAAATTCCTATACCAGATCTAATTTTTAATCACAAGAATTCTTAAATTCCTAAATTTCAACCCGCTAGGTCCTCAAATCCCCAAAGTCTCTCTATTCAAACACCTACGTTCCTGAATACAGAGATACAATTTTTAACGAGTGAAAGTTTCTTCCTTTGGTTTCTTCCTTTAAGTTTCTAAGGTTCTAAGAATAGCTATTTAATAGCTGTAGAATAGCTATTAAACTTGACAGGTTTATGTGAGTAGCGCTCAATGAATTCTATCGTAGATTCCTATAAGGTGACCACAGATATGTGATATCACGTATCTAATAAAATTCACCTTCCTTCCAATATTTCAATAGTCATCGCTCTAGAGACGACGTCACGAGAAGCAAGATCCTTGGCATTTGGCGCGTAACGTTCCATAAAAAATTCCCCTTGAGAGTTCACTAATTTCCCCCCTTCACCGCGGCTGCCTTCCGTTATTAAAATTCCGCTTCCGTATATTCCTGAAAAATCAACCGGTTAGATCGACAAGGTATACACCAGAGATGCTGCTTATCCTTTTTGTAATAGGAATACCGGTTGGATGGAACTGGATGAACTCCATGTCTTGGAGTGGCAATCCTGCTCTAGAAGCCATCGCCATACCATCACCGGTACAAGCATGTGCTGCGGTACAGGACTGGTAACATCTTCCTGCTCCACCTGTGGCTATCACCTGAAAAAAGTGACAAAATGCTTGTCATGTAGACGTTTACGGTCCGTGTTGTGTGTCAATCTTCTCTTTTCTTGAATTATGTTGTTAACGTTGTTTCTTAGGTGGGGATTGGTGGGGATTAGCTAGGTAGGATTCAATTTGGGAGTAATTAGGTAGGGTACAAGTGATTAGATATAGGATTGATTCATTTAAATTTGGACTGGTTATTGGTGGATAGTGAATAGTGGTGGGGTGTATCATTTTATTTGAAATTTGCAAACTTTTTAATTTGGGGATTTAAAAATTTTTAAATTGTTAAATTAGCAAGGAGCCAAATTCTGAAATTCTCGAATTAATAAATTTTCAAATTTTTAAGTTTTCAAGCTTCTAGATTTCTTAATTTTTAATTTTGGGCCCTAGGTTCCTAGATTTCTGGATCCTTAGATTCCTAGATTCCTAGATTCCAAGGTTCCTAGATTCCTAGATTCCTAGATTTCTAGATCCATAGATCCCTAGATCCCTATATTTCTAGATCCCTAGATCCCTAGATCCCTAGATTTCTAGATCCTTGAATTTCTAGATCCTTAGATCCCTAGATCCTTGAATTTCTAGATCTCGAAATCCCTAGATCCTTGGATTTCCAGATTCTAAGATCCCTAGATTCTTGGATTTCTAGATCCCTAGATTTCTAGATTTTTAGATTTCCAAATTCCTAAATTCCAAAATTCCAAAATTCCAAAATTCCAAAATTCCTGAATTCCTATAATCCTAAGTTTTAAAATTGTAAATCTAAAAATTTCTAATTCTGCAAATTACCAAATTTCCCAATCCCTAAATTTAAAAAATTAGTAAAACTACCTTAGAGCCCATAACACCAATGACTCTAAAGCAACGACCACTATAAACCCACAACAATATTTTAAAAAATATTTGACAATTTACCGTATGATGAGCCCTGAATCGATGCAAAAGCCCAGTCTCCAGTTCCCACGCTAGCACTCCCTTGCAGCAACGTCCAACCATCAGAAGATCAAGGGCAAAATACTCCACATAATAATGGACATCGTAACGCAGACTTTGTCCATACAACGTGTGCAATATCGCATGACCGGTTCTATCAGCAGCTGCACAAGTTCTTTTAGCTTGACCACCCTTGCCAAATTTCAACGACTGTCCACCGAACGCGCGCTGATAAATCTTTCCTTCGTCCGTGCGACTGAAAGGACAACCTAAAATGGAAAATGGAGAAAATGGGAAAATGGAGTAAATAGGAAAATAGAGAAAATAGGAAAATGGAGAAAATGGAGAGAATGGGAAAATGGAATTGTAAAGTACGTTTATTAATTCGAGTAAATTGATCGCACCGTAATTCTCAAGTTCGAAAATAGCTCGAGGTGCTTCTCTGGTTAAAAAGTGTATTGCGTCTTGATCACCCAACCAGTCGGATCCTTTGACGGTGTCGTACATGTGGTACAGCCAATTATCGTCTTTGGTCGCGTCGATTACGCCGTTTATTCCACCTTGAGCCGCCACTGTGTGAGATCTCGTCGGAAATAATTTTGTCACCACTGCCACGCGATACCCTTTGCTTCCTGTTTGATCAGAGATATTAATGGTATGTTTTGTGGGAATAGGTGGTTTGATGTATTTGTAAAGTTTGAAATTTTTGGGTCATGAAACTTTGGGAGTTATTTTTGCAAGTTTAGAATTTAGGGATTTCTGGTTGGGAAGATTGAAGACTTTGAAATTAAGAATTTTGTATTTTGGAGTTTATACATTTTGTAATTTCTACATCCCCAAATTTGTGCATTTTGTAATTTTTACACCTGCAAATCTGTACATTTTGTAATTTCTACGTCTCCAAGTCTGTACATCTTGTAATTCTTATATTTGCAGATTTCTACATTCTTTAATTTATAAATGCCCAAATTACCTAAAACTTTACCGAATCTAAATCCTAAATTCAAAGACCTTACATTTCAAACTTGCAAGTTTCAAATTTACAAATGTAATAAATCTTAAATATAGAAAATTAGAAATTTGGTAATTTAGGGATTTCGAATTCCAGGAATGTAGTTACATTACTTACAAATCTACAAATTTGCTACAAAAATGAAAAATCTAGAAATTTGTTAATTGTAAAATTTATTAAATTCAAAGAAGAGTAATTACCTAAACCAAACGCTGCTCTTAACCCTGCACCCCCAGCACCAATAATCACGACATCATAACAGTGATCTATCATTGGATAGGTCTGTAAATAGTGTTCAAAATTGTCAAGTCACAATCATGCATAGCCACATACTCCATAAAAATTCTCTAGCATAAAATATTTATTAAAAATCGCTTACAGTTTTACTATTATCAGTAGCACATTTTGACTTCTCGCCTGGACTGATATTTACGTGAAAACTTCTATGATCTTTCTTGCTCAAAAGTTGAGGTTGTATAACAGATCGCTGTAAAAGTTGAAATAAACACGGTTGAACTACGGTGGAAATGATTTTGGGTAATCGTTGCTTATTACCAAAATTCGTGGCAGTCGATGTATGGATCGTAACATTTCTTGAAATTTGTGCCGAATTTAAAATACATTGCACGATATACGTGCGAACTGCCATTCAATCGTTTGTCATCTGATAAAAGAAGCAAGAAAATGCACTAGCATTGGCGTAACTAAGATTTTTCGTTCAGGTGAAATTCTAAATCTCTAAATTTAAAATTTGAGAATTTGGAGAATTGGGAATTTTAAAATTAGAAAGATTTAATGATTATTGAAATTTATAAATTCAAATATCTACTAAACTAGAAATCTAGAAATGTGAAAAATTAGGCTTTGAATTCAAGGCTCCTATAAATTAAAAAAATATGGAAATCCTGAAATCTGAAAATTGGGAGACATTTCTGTAAAATCCGTGGATATCAGAAAGCACCACAAGAGTGTAAAATGTTGATAGTATTTTTTACAAGCATGACTTTATTGTACTTGCAAAAATACAGTTCAAAACATAGACAATTTATCGTTATATATCATGACAATGTACAATAATTAGTCCTATTATATCCTCTTTGGTATTCTTTGGACACCAGAGAGCGAATGGCAACAACGAATCGTTTTTACTAAAATATTAAAATTAATTCGGCAGATGGGCAGCAATTAGTACTATTTCTTTTTGTAGAATAAGAAAAAAGGATTGTAAACTTGTTAGAAACGTTGATCGTGCGTTTCGCTATACGTCCATGATTTCTAAACGTTAATTTTATTAATTAACAATAGTTTGTTATTCGAGCAACAAACAGTGATTCGTTATTTCTATTTCTAACAGATGTTCTTACACTTACGCTAAGCTTACGTTACACACTGTATACACACGAAACATGCTTGAATTTTATTTTTCTTTCGTTTCACATTGTGCTGATTCGTATAAAAGCTTGTAGAAAAATGGAGGTGAAAAAGAAGACGGATTTCAACGTCCTTGTTGAACACAAAGTTGAATCGGCAAGTTAAAGTCTTAACGATGAACAAAGTAACCGTGAACACTGGCTGTGAAATTATTTTCATACAAGCGTGTTAACAAAAAGCATATGTAACGCTCTTATGATAACTTAGATAGAATTTATATTAAGTAGATCCGTCCATTTTTTTTTCAATCGAATACGTATCGTATCGTTCATAATTAAACGACAGAAAATTGTTTTTAATTTTTGTAATATATATCAGATTGTCTGAATTAAATTATGTATACAAAATTTGAATTTTATTATTTAGTAGATGATGGGAAGTTTCATAGAGATCAAAGTTAACCTCTACTCATTTTTTTTATATCTTAAAAGCTTCATTACACAGAAAAAATGAATAGCGATTAATTTCTTACAAAACCATAAATTTGACGCAGTCGAATAATTATGAACGATATTACATTAAATATAATAGTTTTTATACTACTCTTTTTGTACAATGATTGAACTCGATCGCAGGGTTGAACCTAAACTAACGGAATTTTCAAGACCGGATTCTCGTGCTAACTACAGTACAATGAAAATTCTACATGTCTAACATTTTACTCGATTCCGTTTCTGTCTTTTACGATTATTGACTTTCATTGTTCTCCTGTTCCCTGATACTGAGAATTTCTCTCTTTCTTTCAATTTCTCAAGTGGTTAATGACTAGAGTACATAAGTTTAACTCTGAACTGCAAGAATAAAATCTTCTTTACGAATATTTAAAATATCTTTCAATTCCTTCGTATTACTATTCATATCTCTAAACCACCTGCTCCACACAGATGTACAGAATGAATCAGCAGCTATTGGCACCACTTTCAAAACTACAGAAAATGTAGTTAACAATTGCAGAAGAACACTTCAGTTACTCAGAAAATTTACGTGAAATCTCTGTTACTTAAAGTATCTACATAAATGATTGAAAGAGAACATACATAACCGACTACATGAAAATCATTGTTACCATATTATCATGGTGGTTACTAACAGAATCTATTAAAGTTACAATTTGATTAAAGTTACTCTAACTACAATTTCAATCTAAAGTTATTCTAACCATAACTTCAATCAATTGTATCTCTGAAAGAGGCGACTAATCCACTCTGTACATCATATTTTCTAGAAAAGGTGCATCCATAGAATTTTGCAACTTCTGAGAATCATCGAGATGTGCTTTCTTCAGTTTCCACGCTGTGCTCTCTCAGAATGTTCAAAGAACCAGTCTCCTGACACCACACTCGCAGCAGAACTTTGCGGTTTCCGGGAACCTGGAACCGCACTCGTGACAGTACTTGGACATCTTATATTTCGTGTTGTTCATCCCGTCGCCGTCTCGACGATTGCATCTCGGCAGATCCTCCTCGAGTCGTCCTGCCACGTCATTGGTGCTGCGTCCATGGTGCGAATATTTGCGATTTAAACTAGGATCAACATAAATCGAACGGGACTTTAAGCATGCATATTACGGTGCAAGAAATTACTTTAACATTCACAGATTTCTATGTCTACCGTAAAATTTCAAGCTTTCTGCACGATAATTGGAGAAATCTGCGCAGGAATATTTTAACTTGATATGGTAATGAATGTATATTCACTAAATTACAGTTTGACTGCATAAATAAATTAGTCATAAATTAATTTTTACTTGAACACAATTTTTATGTACGAAGTTAGAAATAATGCACAAGGATAAAATTTTATGCAGAAGGATAAAGATTTACAAGAATACAGTAATTTTACAAGAGCACAAGAATAAAAGTAATTTTACAAGAGTACAAGAAAAAGCTCACAAGAAAATATTACAGTCGAATCATCTTTGATAAAACATTTACGAACGAATCTAGAGCAGAATGGCAGCCATGTTTGATCGTTTAATATTCATCATTTGAGTAGATGTTTAATACCAATTATTTGAATTCAAGAAATAATAAATTATCTAACATTTGCTCTAAATTCGCTCGAAGAATTTTAATCAAAATAGTAGATCCAACAATCGTAAAGCTCTGTTATCAGCAAAAATAGAAATGAACGTATATTAACCTGCTATAAGCAGAGTCGGCGCTCATCTTGCTGTGGTCCTGTCTTTTGTAGCTCTCCGGCGAAGACAATTCATCGTCGCTGATTTGACCGTTCCGTTGTCTACCATGGACAGGGCTGGACATGGACAAGGAATCGTTTTTCAGAAGGGATTTCAAGGAGGAGAAAGAGCCATTTTCGTCCTCGAACGAGGTCATCAACTCGTCGAACAAGGAGTTCGATCGTTTGATGTCCATGTCGGAGGACACTATGGAGCTCAGACTAAGGTTGCTGCTCGACAAATTCGCGTAATTGTTGTTTCGGTTGTTCAGACTGTTATTGCATCTTTGAGCATCGTTTTTACGAGACTTTTTCGAGTCGTCCGTTTTTCTGTCGGGGGTGGTTTTGGGCGCGGACGAAGCTCGGACGGAGAGGGAGCGATTGACGGAAGGTCGTATGACTTTCGGAGAAACTTTGTCGAGGATTTTGCGAGCTTTCTCCGAATTGCCAACGAAACTTCTGCTACCGCGACTCCCGTCGACCACCTCGCCGCCCAAAGCCTTCGACTTGTCGATGATGACTCGTCTACCTAACTCTCTAACGGGCGACTTCTTGTCTACATCCGACTTCGATTCCTTAAGTTCTTTCAGATCTTTCATATCTTTCAGGAAGATTTCGCGAGACAATGAGTTGGTCTCGGTAGAGTCGCTCGAGAAATCTGAAACGAGGTCGTCGAATTCTGTGGGTGGAGCTATCAAGGATGATCGTTTCTCCGGGCTCGAGAGAGACGATTGACAAGGATATTTAACAAACGCGGAGGAATGAGATAGGGGAAATGAGGTTTCGCGGTTTTGCTCGATAGAAGGACTATCCGTCACGGATTGCTCGCTGGTGTCCGACAACAGGTCGTTCATCTGCTGCTCCGCCAGCAAAAACGGATTGTAATCCTTGCCGCTGAAAACACCAACGAGATTTTAACTTGATTGCGTGTAACCGAGATGTTCTTTCTGCACTTTTATCGTAAGAACTCCTTTGGAATGACTTGTTGGGGCTGGTGAAAGAAATGAGTGTATTTTGTTCGTTTTAAATCAACAATTTGCTAAAGCATTTATCTTCTTCAAGGATGATTTGACACAAATAGAAATTATATTATTTTTATCATTATGTTTTGTTCATTTTAAATTTGTAATAATAACCTAACACATTTTAAGAAGATTAGTAATGTACTACATGTGTCACTGTCCTTGAAGACGTTAAGGATAATTTGTTTATTGATGAAGTGTTCTTAATATTATAATGTAATACGAAATATGGGTACAATTTTAGTAAGTAAATTTGAAGATGAATTTTACTTCTAGGTTTGAAATTTAGGTTTGTTTTCAATTACCTAATTTTCTCATGTGATCTGAAAATTGAAGTTTGAGATATACATGTATGTTCATATATGTCTATACATACAATATGTCATATATGTCTATATATGTCTATACATACATGACATATATGTCTACATATGTCTATACATACAATATGTCATATATGTCATATAAGCACGTATACATAAAGAGCATTTATTGTATGAATAAACACAGACAATCTATTTACATTCCCTGTGATTTTATCAAATTTATTAACAGTAAAATTGTGCCCTTATCTTATAACTAAATAATATAAAACGTTCCTAATTAAAAAGAAATAAGTGCAGTGGTGTGTGGCTCGTTCCTTTGCCGTTTGCTTCAAGTACCGTAAAAGTGCTCTGACGATAAATCGAGAATAAATGAAAATTTGTAAAAGTTCCTTGTTTGAAATTATAACGTTGAACTTTTTTGGATGTTCTATTCTAAAAGCGATATCGATCCTTCTGCGATGAATGGAATGTACACAAGAAAATCGAAGAAGCCTTTCAGCTTCGAGCAAACATATAAAGCATGTTCTTTGACCAGTTTCCAAAGCAAATCTTTGTACGACGTGGCAGGTAAACTCACATGGCGATGCACATGCGATGCAGAATACACCGAGGAATGTGCCAAGATTAAATTTGAGGTTTGAATAGAGGATAATGTTTTAACGAGGTTCCACTTTTAACACTTTATCGTCGGGTAAGTCGATTCTTGAGGAGAGTGGTTTTTATTTTTATACATTATTAATTTAAATGAATTTAATAAAAATTTAAATTTAAATAATTAAATATCAGTATGAACTTTGAAGACATATCAATATTTAATTTAATTGTCACTGACAATTAAATGTCGACATGAAATTTTAAGATCTGAATTAAATATCAATATGAAATTTGAAAGTCTGAGAATTAAACATTAATATTAACATTGAAAATTAAAAATAAAAAAAATTGTTAAGTATGATATTACAGAGGAATAAAAGATGACATAAAATATTGTCATACATTTATTAAATTAATGTCGAAGTTATACAACAAAGCAAATTTTGCTTGCAAAAAAAAATGATAAAAGTCAGAAGATTAAAAATTATATCTTTTTATATAAAAAAAATAATTTTAATGAATGAAACTAACAAGTAAGAAACATTGTCCCGTGGATAAGGTGTTAACTTCTCGTCAAAATAGAGTATTCCGTGGAATGAATTGCGTCCATAATTGAAACTAATTCTATAAAAAACCAGAAATCTGTCTTGGCAATTAAATTATCCACCTGAAACTTACGTTCTACCGCTAAGTACGAGATTAAAATCCGGTCGTCTGCGCACGTAATTGCTCCAAACGGGACGTAATGGCAGTTTAAAATTCCTATAATTATCGTACGTATGTGTTAAAAGTCGAGGGACATAATAATCGTACCCTTGACGTATGCACTGTATAATTAAATTTAAAAATAGAAACATTGAAAATAATGAATGCAACGATGCACCATAAAATGAGTATTCACTGAATACTCTTTGGCCTTAAAAGAGCAAACGACTCTTGCTTTCGCTTTAACAAACTTTACTGCTGATTAAATTAGTATAAATTATGCGAAGGTTTAGATTGTGATAGAAATTGTAATTTATATTGGAAATATGGTTGTCTGAATGTTGTAATAGAATTAGTATGTTGAGTTATGTAGCATCATTGGAATGGTGGTTTTAGATATTATAAACTTAGTTGAACTTTTCAAACTTTTAATATATGAAGTCCTAAATTTTCAATACAGCAAAGTCTCAAATTTCCAATATAGCAAAGTCTCAAATTTCCAATATAGCAAAGTCCCAAATGTCCAACATATCAAAGTCCCAAATTTCCAACATATCAAAGTCCCAAATTTCCAATATAGCAAAGTCTCAAATTTCCAATATAGCAAAGTCTCAAATTTCCAATATAGCAAAGTCCCAAATTTCCAATATAGCAAAGTCCCAAATTTCCAATACATCAAAGTCCAAAATTTCCAATATTCCAAAGTCCCACATTCTCAAATTCTCCCCATTCCAAATTCCCAAATTTCCACTCTTCCAAATCCCAAATTTCCCCCATTCAAAAGTCCAAAACTTCCAATGTCTCTTTCCCCCATTCAAAAGTCCCAAACTTCCAAAATACCAAAGTCCAGTTTCCTACCATTGCTCCAAAATATTATTAGTACATTTCTGTCCAAAAACAGCAGTAAGTCCCATTCGTACCTGTGATCTATCAAGGACGAGCCACTGGGAACAGGTGGAAGGATACCAACTTTAGGATTTCGTTTAAAGAACCTGCTCGCCCCCTGATAAGGTGGGTCAAGATTAATCAATCGATTCTTCATAGTCCTTGTCGCTTTATCCCAATAAGACTGAGGATCAATTTTCTCCCGTTCACAATTTTTCTTCACCACCATTCCTTTGATTTCCGGCAAAATTCGAAACTTGATGCTCCTGTTCCTCGTACCGATCTCTTCGATCGTCTCAACCTCAACGGACTCCACTCGTCTCATATCCGTGAAATTTACTTCGTTAATCGAAGACAAACTATCGCTGCTTTCGTTCAGAATGTCCATATTCTCATGAATTTTACTTGTCTCCAGGATCTTCGATCGATACATTTTCGACGTGGTAGATCTAGTCTTTTTCTTCACGCGAGACTCGGAAAGAATTATCGATCGCATACCTGGCGGATATTGCCGATGCTTGTTAGAAGCTTTCAAATTATTTATCGCCTCTCTCATGTGTTGCTCGACGCTGTTGTCGCTGTCCTCGTCGAAATCCTTCGCTGCACAACTTTTGTAGATCTCCTGAATTTCTTCGTTCGATTCTTTACTCAGATTATCCTTCGCATCAATTTCTGTTTTACTTTCTTCCAAGTTTTCGTTCGACTCTTTCATTTCGACTTTCGACTCTTCCAAAGAACTAACCCCATTTAAATTTGAGGTGCTCTGTACGTTGCCAAATTCAGCTTCCGACTCAAAGATATTTCCAGACAAATCACTGCAGTCGATGCCTTTGTCATACTTGGGGATCGAAAAGACGCTCGATGAACAGTTGCACATGTTTATCTGACTAGCAATATCCTTTCTGAAGGTTTTCTGAGAATCGAATTCTCTGTTTTTCGGAGTAGCGGGTGAATAGCTTTCTCCCTCACGTATTCTTATAGAGGGAAGACTCGAGAAACTTTTATTGCCTGTACTAATTTCGCGAGGAGTCGAACAGTTCGACTGCAACGTGTTCTCAGAATTGCGTCTCCTCGATTTTCTAATCGTATGACTCGAGCTGTTTGAATCTCTGCTTTCGACGCGATACAACAACTCTGATCCTGTTTTTACGTTCACAGCCATTTTCCATTCAGAATTTTCTACTTGTGGAGGAGATTTTGGCTCTGAATATTCGAATGGTGTGCTTGATCTAGTCGGTAGTATGTCTTTTGAGATTTGATCATTGTCCATTTCTATGCAGTTTGTGTTACAAGATTTTGTGTCTTCGTCCATGTAGTTTTGCGTTGATTCTGTTTCGTTTTGCAGAGATTGATCTATGCTTTGAACATCGGAATGGAGCTCATTTTCTTCTATGTCTTCAGTATTCTTCATCTGATCTTCAGTGTTCTTCATCTTCATCTGATCAGAAGAATGTTTCTTTTCTTGTAATTTCATTTCTGATGGCTCATTGATTTCATCTGTACACGGTTCATAAGCATTGAATTCATTACATTCCAACTTCTGTTCCATACGTTTTATGGTTTCTGACCAATCCTGTACATCAGCAACTTGTATATCTTCAGCTTGTGTTTGATCACAATTGGAACTTAATTCAACATTCTCCTTCATACTCGTTGGATAATCGTTTACACTGTTCGCATCATTTTGAACAGACAAATCGGAAGTCAGTCGTTTTTTCTCCAAAATTTTGCTCCTCGATTCGAGAGATTTCAAATCCTCCATGTTATTTTCGACGGTATCTTTCGAACTCTTTCTCAAACTCGTAGAAGAGACGCTTGGTTCGGGACAAGTAAAGTACGTCGCACGAAGGCGACTCGCCTTTTCCAGATCCCCCAAACAAAACTCCACCCGTGGACTGTGTTTCACCGGTTTCCATTTACCTTTGGAGATCTTCAGACTCTCTACCTCATTCAAATCCTTGAAGGAGTACGTTTGATTTAAACTAACTGTCGACCAATTCAGATTTTTGGATTTATCATCATATTTCGAGGTCTCGAACGAGTCTTTACTCGACTCCCTAAAATCTGCATCGATATCACTCTTAATTTTCCGAGTCACACTTTTCTGACTGTAAGCAGGTTCAAGTTTCTTCTCTTGACTGATCTGTTTCCACGTGACGAACGCGTCTTCTTTGTATATATTGCAGGGTTTCACAGTTATGCCCACGATATCGTCGTTGATCGACACGTCGTTCACCTTCGGGTTACCCTGACTCCTCGCTGAAACGATATTTGTCTTCGGAGACCTTGCCGAGTGCTTCTCCTCTTGCTTGCTTCTATGACTGATCTCCTCTCGCTTCGGTCTTTCGTGCACCTTTGGCCGTCTTTTTGCCGAAGGGATGCTTTCGCACTCCTCGAGAGTTTCTTTGGTGTGCCTCAAGGGAGGTACAGGGAGGTAGGAGGTTCTTTTAACAGGGGGCGCAGGTCGGAAGGACAGTGGTCCAGGCTTGTCTTCCGGTGGCCTGAGGATGAGGAAACAGGATCAAGGATGTATGCCTGACATCAGGAGAAGGTCAGGCTTTTTGTAATCGCGATTTACGGTTTTCTGTTTCGTTCAAATGTCTCGCGAGCGGAAACAACCTTGTCCCTTTTCCTTCTCCTCATGCACGCTACTCGGGTGTACTTAAACTAAACTATTCTCCGGCCGAGAATTGGCATTTGCCACGCGAACACGTGATCCAAAGAAGATTACCTGTTTGGGCGATCGATTGGTCGAGACTTCATCGGGACAGGGGCTGCGGGTGACTCTTTTGGCTGTCCAGAACGTCTGCTGCAATAACAAACTTGTTTAAAACGGTTGCTTATAGTAACAGAGCTTTTAACCTTTTATAGAGGCAAACTCTTAATTACATCGTTCACTACTTGGTGACATAGTTATAAATCATTCTTAATATAGCGTACACATAAATACATGAAAATAAAATCAATTTAAAATCTGTCGCTACAGGCTGTTTCATTTAAGTGTACTCATTGAATATCTTCTTTAATTATGAAAGCGAAAAAATTATTTCATATGTCACTTCTCTTGTATTAAGTAATCAATAGTCTATGTTGACCATGAAAGTTATATATCAGATTATACAGATAGTACTGAATAACAAATATTGAAGTTTGAACCATTGAAGTTTGTTACGGATAAGATGTTTGAAACAAAAATTATACCCTAAGGCACACGATAATTAGTTTCTAGCAACATGTTTTCTGTTACAAAACGAATGTATGAAATAAAATACAGTGATAACGGTATACTTCAAGATTACATAGGACTAGTTTAGATATTATCATGGAATGGAGGACAATCTGAGTAGAATTTCTAAAGATCTAGAATATTTAAATAAGTTAAAGAACTTTTGCAAAAAATATTGATTATGATTTTTTATGCTAGCAGTATATTTATTTTTGGAAGAGACACTGCTTATGTTACACCCTGTACAATTATGAAACCACTACAAAATTAAGGTAAAAGAGCAGTAAAACGTCAGGTTACAAGATAGGGAGTCACAGCTGAAACCTTTTTTCTGGCACGACGCCAGCGAGACAGGGTTTAACATAAGGAAGCAATCGCTTCCATAATTATTTGTCTAAATTTAAGAAGCTTTGCACGTCTGCGTTTAACGTGTTACGTGTACTTTTATCCGCTTCGATATTCGCTATTTAGTCCTCAAAGTCATTTAGGAAATTAATTACAAAATTTTACATTGAGCAATCTAGTGTGCATTCATTGCAATATCAAATGTTACAATACTTTTAATTTGCATCATAAAGTTTGTAATGAAATTTAGAATTTAATGTATTCTGATGGTCAAACTAGTTTCATTTGGTTATGCAAGTATTTAAGATTTAAAGTTCACTTCACAACCAACCATTCTCCACATTCTGCAATCTATTTACATTAACAAGCAGGATTTTTAGGTGAAAATCATTTCACGGTCAGATTGTACATGCAGCTAAATGTGTATCGATATCGCCTCTCTAAAAAGTGAACCATTTCATCAAATATTCTATCAGTAAAATATTCTACTATCATAACATTATATCAGTAAAATCTTCAAAAAGATTCTAAAATAACTTCTCAACTCAATTCCTCTCTGAAAATTCTTTCTAAAAATTTATTCCTATACTTTTCAAACTGACATTAATTAAAAAAAATACTGAACGGGACTAATAGAAAATAATGAACGTATAGAATTGCTGAAAGCGTGAACGATCCACATTTTGCTGTTTCTTCTTGTCGTCTCGGTTGAAATCGCAGTAACTTACACGAACGACTTCTGTTTAACAGGAATGTCGACGTTTTTGTTGCAGTTGGGTGCCGATGCACTCTCCTTGGCCTTAACGGTGGCGATAGTTGGCGAGGTTTTGCTCGCGGAATTGAGGGTGATCGCCGAACCCGGTGAATATTTCTCACGGGTGGCTTGTCGACGACTTTTTACGGCCGGAGCACGATACTTCATCCGTGCTTCGAGACGTTCCTTGGCGATGTTCGTTGCTGGACTAACCGGCACATGAGTAACCCTGTCCTTGCACCAGGCCACGTGTCTCTCGTAAGCCTTGACGCCGAAATGTCTGTTGCAGGTGGGACACATACCCTGCTCGTTAGAGCGCGTCGGCGCGCTCGGTGTGACTGTCGTTCCACATTGTTTTTGCATCGTGAAATCCGTCTGAAATCGCGTCACATAGTTATTATACAGGATACACGTAGTTATACATAGTTATACAACCCTTTATTCTAAAATAATTTAACCATATTTTATCTCGATGGAACTTGCAGTAGAGAAATACTGTTAGCAAAGGGAACTGAATTTATAGACCTGATTTGGAGATTCGAGGATCTGCAAATTTAGGAATTTGGAAATTTGATCTTCTGAGAGATTCAAGGTTTCAGAAAGCAAAATGTAAGCTATGAAGTATGATTACTTAAGTTAGGTCAGTGTTGATGTCAATGTTGAACAGAAATATGTGGAGATATTGCTACAAAGTGAATTCATCTCACGCTTGAATGCACTTGCATCATTCGAGATGCAACTGGGTTAATCTACGCTCTGTCTGCAATTGTGGCTATTAATCTTTCCTTTTTAATTCATCTGGACAGTTTTAAGTTTCCTATTCGTTTCACTTAAAATATAAGTTACTATATGACTCAATTTTTTGTGTTATCTTTCCAAAGTCCTAAATTTTACAATACTATATTTTAATTCCACAAGTTCATTTTGCAAACTGTCTATATTTTCTATTTTATTGTTTCTCATATTTCTAAACCTTCCAATCTCTAAATTGCCATATATCTGCATCCTTCCTTAGCTATTTTGTATTTTTCCTACAAAAGAGTTGTTCTGAATTTCTGAACTAGGTTGTGTTTTCCTACCCGTCTAAAGCAGAGAATGAAAGTAAAAACTTACGACTTCGTCGCGAGCAGCGCGAATTGTCCGCAGGAAGTTGTCGTGGTTCTGTTTCCAAGTGGTGCTGGGTTTCGATCTATCATCCTGCGCGCTTCGTTTCTTCTCCTGTTTAGGAAGAAATTCAGCCAACTCGGTGCCCTGGATCCTCTGTTTAGCGGAGTCGAAAGGCGTCCTCTTCTCCGTAATTCGTTTACATATTTTCGAGTGTTTCTCCAGCGACTGTGGCTTAAAGGTCCGTAGGCAGAAAGCGCACGGCAGAAGGATGTCCTGTACATCTGTGTCCATTTACCGTGAATTAGTTCGTTGCTTCGATTTTAGCGTTTACAGAATGAGTCAGAAGCTAGAGTATAACTCCGGTTGCTAGATATAGATATTCGTTTTAGTTATCGGTCTCAAGGCAGCGATCTTTGGATCCATTTCTGAGGACCGATCCGAGGAGCCATAATCGACGAGATCCAGAGTTCTGACTCAGACTGCGTTGATCGGAATTCACTTGCAACTGCGTCTGAACGCGTCGAGAGATGACGAGTTTAGTAGAACAAGATTTGTTCAGAACGAAAGCACACCATTTTTGGTTGTGGAAGTTTTTGAGGAAACGTTCATAAACCACGATTCACTAAAGGTTTTAGGTTCTGATATTAACACTTTGAGTTTATGAGTGAAGGGTGTAGGAAAATGTAGAAATTTGCATCATAGGTTGGTTAAAGTTTATATTGTTAATTCAAGAGTCTGGGATGATTTTAGTTTTCTTCAATGATTTAAGGTTGTGAAGAGGTAATATGTAATAGGTAGCTAATATTTCAAGTGTATAGTACACTATAACAATAATTAATTCATGGAACTAACACAATTATATATATAAGCTTCTTCATATCTAAGCTTGAAGAGATATAATAAAGTACAATTAACGTATAGTGAATTGACTTTATCTAATACTACAAACTGATCAATATCACACTATTGCAACGGATAACAAATATTAAGAGTCTCCTTGAATCTAAAGGAGAAGTAGTTGACAGTAAATTGACATCTACTACAAACTGATCAATATGACACTACAAATGACACACATAATTATGTGAGTTAACACCATTATACAGATCTCTTCAATGACCGCATAAAACCATGAAAGTGCTCCAATAAATGGACACCATCTGAAGCTACAAATCAATCATAGTCACTATCAAGAGTCTCTTGCATAACATCTCTTCCGCAATAACCTCTCCACAATTAATCTCCAAATCTCGCACTCAGAATCTAACACACACGAATCTAACAACATAAACGAGAGAAACGGTATTTCACTTCAAAGATCTAATTAATCCATCGGATCCGATACGTTTGTTTAGCCGTCGCGAATTGCGGCCACCTGCGAGACTCTCCTAATAAAAACAACGTCTACGAAGAGGAGGACGAAGACGAGGTGTCGCCCCCGCGACTCAATCGCCTACGGATAAGCAAGTTTCCTTTTTTGGAACTACGAGTTAACCAGCTCTAACATTGTATCTGGTGCTCTCCTGTCGACGATTCCTTCCGTCCTCGCTTTTCCGACGATGGTATGGATACCTTATGGTGTAACGCCTTTCCAAAGTGTCACCTTCATGGACAGATTCGTAATCCTATCGACGTAACCATCGGGACACGTTAATCGTTCTTGATTAGTCGCGACGGACATTTTTTTTATGCGCGATTGAAAATATTGCCTTAATGCTGAGGATGTTTTATGCATGTAGCGGTACCGTTTTATGGGAGCCTTGATGGGTTAGGTTCTGGAGATTTGTGGGCGGAAAGCTATTTTTGGATGCGGTGGAAATTATAGAGAGAAGGTAATTGTAATTAGGTAATTTTTAGGTTGTCGGGTAGGATGGCTAGGTAGTTGGAAATAAATAATTGCATTGGGTAATTGCAAGATGATAATTGTGATTAGAGAAGTGGAATCAGATAAAATTGTCTAGGTAACTGTAAATATATAACTGCAGCTAAGTAATTGTAATGTTTCAATGATTCTACAATTTAAAAATTTTAGAGTTAATTTCAAAAGCCCAACATCTAAAAATCCTACAAGATTGTACAGATTTAAGGATATAAATTCTCAAATTTCAGAGCACGAAAATCTAAAATTCTTGAATATCAAAACACTCAAATTTTAAAGTTTATAAATCTTCAAGTTCTGAAATCCTAAAATTTAAAAATTCTCATGTTTCAAAGATCCAAACATACTAAATTCCTCAAAACACCAAAAATTCATAAATCATAAGTTCCAAAACCTCAAAACTCTGAAATACCAAAATTGCAAACTTTCCAACATGCAAAAATCGTAAATTTGCAAGTCCCAATCTTACAAAACTATTAAACCAATAAAAGATAAAAATTCATACATTCGACAGGAATTACGAAAATAGCAACGTGTGAATTGATGTGAAAACAATTTTGTAGGAACAGTCAAACAAGCATGCTCTCATCGATATATTTAAAAATGTCACCTTATATCTGATTTATCTTTTTTTACTATATTCAGAGTCTTTCTCAAGTTTATTATTCAACAAATCATCACTATTATATAACTAGTACAATATTATTATTTGTACTTCAACACTTTGACTTAAAAAACTAGCAAAAATCTAGTATGACTCATAATTTTAGAAATAACACTTCGTTAATTTTAATTAATCTTGACGATGAAGAAATAATAAAATTATTCATTGTATAAAGTAAACTTTTACTACACTCGATTTAGCACGTGCTGTTTTTCTCACTGATAAAGTCGAGAAGATTGAATTGTGCATACGGATAATACTAACACAGCTAACTAATGAGGCAAGGAGGTGTGAAGCGAGTAACGAAGGTTGCGAAAGACGAAGTAACGAGTTTAGAAATCTGTTTCATTGCTAATTGGCAGCATCCAGTAAATATTGCATTACTCCTATCGCCATTTCCACGAAGGATTAACACATGCATTAAGTTAATGGATTTAATTAAATTCAACACGATGGGAATTAAAACGGTATCACTAAGCGATGAGAAAGTCTTATAAATGAGTTCTACAATCTTTTTTAATTGGGAGTTTGGAAATTAAAAAATTTGGAAGATTTCATGATTTAAGCGTTTTAGGAGTTTGAGATTTAGGGATTTGGAAATTTTAGGATTTGAAGATTTAGGGATCTGGAAATTTTAGGATTTGAAAATCTAGGGATTTGAAAGTTAAGAAATTTTGGAATTTGAAGAGTTGAAAATTTGGAAGTTGGAAAATTTTAGAATTTAGTAACTTGAGAATTTGAGAATTTGGAAATTTTGGGATTTAGGGAGCTAGAAATTGGGGAATCTGGAGATTTGGAAAAATTTTCATTTGGAAATTTTGAAATTTTGGAATTTTGAAATTTTGGAATTTTGGAATTTTGGGGTGTTAGAAATTTGGGGACTTAGGAAGTTAAAAATTGGGAGATCTGAAGATTTGGAAACGTTCAAACTTGGAAATTTAGAAATTTTTGAACTTAGGAATTTAGTGATCTGGGAATTTGGAAATTTTTAGATTTGAAAATTGAGGGTTTTTACAAAGTTCAATCTCGTGATAATTTGCAAACTTCAAACTCTAGAAATATTAATATCCATAAATGTAAAAAATTGAGAAGAAAATCGATGAAAAATTGACTTCAGATTTCGAGACCCTAATATCTCACCTGGCTCGGTATATTGCTCGACTTGCACTACTTTTTCCGATTCGACAGGTTGCACTTTAAACTTGTGATCATAGGGGGGCCCTAGGTCCGCCCCTGCGACAGCTCTTCTAGAAACACAGCACAACATCGAACAACAGAGTGGAAACACACCGACTGAACTGTTCCATAGAGATCAGGCTGTTCTTCTACGCAACGTGCACGCAGTCTTGTTCTCCTCTTATAAAGAGAGTTTATTTTAGGTGTTACTGCGAGAGCATCAGAAGCAAACTGCTTTTCCAGCGATGGAAACGAAACCGTTGCTCAAAGAACCAGAAACTACGTTGGTTTAACACTTCGAGCGTTAAATTCGATACGAATAATGAATAATTGTTATTTTTTCGACAAATTCAACCTGTTTCTTTTTTAATTCTAATTCTACCTTGTGAAATAAGAAATAATTGTTAGTTACTATGATTAGTAACTAGGAGTCAATAAATTGTCAAAAAGATTAATTCTGCTGTGGTATCGATTTATTTCGATACATTTATAAAAATTTTAATCATAATAAATTTTTATACACTATGTAAAACTAATAAACTTTTGATACATTATCAAAAAAAACAGAATAATTAATATTAATTATAAAAAAATATTAAATATTATTGTTTATTATTTAATTAAAAATATTATTGCTAATTATAAAATTTGCTACTCGTGTGTTTAAAAAAATATAATTTTATAGTACGCCATTTTATGTATTAAAAAATAGTTCTATTTATTACTGTATATAAAATATGAATATCGCAAAATTGTTACCTAGAGTACCATTTACTTGGAACTATCGATTACGTTTAAGCTCACGTGCTCATGTCACTTTTCGCGAGTTCCGCTTCCGGTAAATATCGTGGTCACCCACGCAACGTATATCATGATTAACTATAATGATTTAACATGTCCATAGTACATATACAATTTATAAATTTGATCAATACTCCAGGGATTTAATAATGTAGGTACCATAAAAAAGTATATAGGAATAAATATGAATTTTAGCAACTGTTCAATATTCAAGACATTGCATGAAATATGACAGTAGCTATAATGTAGTTCAGGTAAATGTACCATCAGTTGATATAAGAACTATTTCTCATTGTAACTGTCATAGCTACCTTTTTCTCAATAAAGAATTATGCAAATAAATTTGATTTATTAGATACCTAAAGTTTTCTAATATCCATTTCAACTTTCCAAATTCCTGAATATCCAAATTTGTAATTTATAAATTTACATGCGATCCTGAAGCTGGATCGCGCGATCAATCGATTTACCGATCATCGATTCTTTTCGCACAATAGAAAGTATAACCTTACCTTCTGTCACATTATTGGTTTCTCTTTCGAAAGACATCGATCTAGTCGATTGAAGATCGGAAATATTATCTTGCACCCATCACTAGCTTCTCTCTTTTCCACTCGAGTATTCGAACACCTTCGCGTCCGCGTGGTTCCCGTATATATTATTAGAAAACAGTCCCGGCCGCGAAACTGGAACCGGACGGAAGTGCAACGCGTGAAAAACACACGCGACAATCGTTAAGATCTCTCGACGCGTTATTTGTGGCAGACAGAACCACCGTGGTTTCGTAAATAACAGCTGAGACAATTTGACGTATGCAAACTTACCCTCAACGTCCGCCATGTTAGTTGTTAGGAGAAACAATGGTTACCATGGTAACCGATGATAGATTCTATGATATAGAAGCCGGTGTCCTTTGCATTATATTTATTTATATTTTATGCAATACGATAGTATATATTTCATTGATATTATGCATTCAGGGATAGAACGAATTTCATTGCAAAAATGAGTCTGAGAAACTTAAGATATAGGAGTTTTTAATTTCTGATTAAATAAAATAGATGTTTGATAGAATTTTGATGATGACTTTTTCTTCAAAATATTCGCGAGACAGATATAAATACATTGTAACAATATTTAATAACATTAGAGGTAATAGTAATTTGAATTATGGAAGAACTGATCTTGTAAATTAAAATAAGCGCGCCGCCGGTAGATGTAGAGAGTAGTATCATTCTTAAAGCGCGCATACCCACGGTTTTTAATTATAATTCCACCCGTCTTATTAGCGCCGTTGCCTAATTCTAATATAAATCGATAATATCGCATGTGATACAAAATGATAAGGGAAATAACCCGCAAATCGTATGACAGAAATTTTCATTACATATGTATCAATTGCGTTCACACTAGTTTGTTAAAAATTTTGGTTCAACGGGAGCTTGGTAAAATTTTGCAAATAATTGATATCAAAAATAATATACAATGTCAGGATTTATGAAGAAAAATATTGTTAGTAATCTACAGGTAGTTTATCTATAAATAATTTATATTAATAAGTACCATACGGAATGGAGGTTATATAAACTGAGCTGTAATAAATATATTACTTTATTTGATTATTGCAGGTGGGAAAATATGTCACAAGAACGTTCTCTACAAATAGGATGTTATTATCGGAAGAAAAATATGTAGATGTCAAGGAAACTAATGGAGTAAGAAAATTTAAAATGCTAAAGTTACTTATAGTTTTATTAATATATCTTCCTTTTTGTAACTAGGTAAGAGTAATATCATTAAACCATCCCTCCACACGGAATTCTTTATCTCTGGGAATGCTCAAATCTCTGTTATTCAATATTAAGAAGGACGAAAATAATAAGGATTTAAGATCAATAGTTCTTAGATCCCAGCTTCCAAATATGTTTTCTGCTGGGCATAACCTGAAAGAATTGGTTTGTAAATGGAATAAAATATAAAAGTAGCTGAAGTTTCTTTAATATAAGGATTTACATTCATCGCAGAGAAATGATTGGTTGCGTGGTTTAGACTCCTAACAATGGAAAGCTTCATAAGGACATATTTGAAACATGTTCTGAGTTAATGCGAGTAATTACTCAAAGTCCAGTGCCTGTAATTGCTGCTGTGGATGGTGTAGCAGTTGCAGCAGGTTGTCAATTGGTTACTACATGTGATATTGCCATTTGTACTGAAAGGAGTTCATTTGCTACACCAGGGTAAGTCAATGAAATAGGTGTAAATAAATTTATACTTCATACAAAAAAGTTGTATTCTTTTTATAGAGCCAATTTTGGAATATTTTGTTCTACACCAGGTATTCCTTTGGTTCGGAGTGTACCTAAGAAAACAGCCATGTATATGTTGTTTACTGGTTTAAGCATTACTGGAAAAGAAGCATATGAAGTAGGTCTTGTGAGTAAAGTAGTGCCAGTTAACAACTTTGGTAAGTTAGGGTATATAAAAATACAAATTTCTTTAACTAAGAATGTAGTTTAGAGAAGGAAACTAATTCAATGTTCTGGATTAAGTTATATTAGGCCCTCAAAAAATACACACTAATAATTGAATTATTGCATATTATATTCATAGTAGGATTTATTTTGTTTCCAGAACAAGAAATCGAAAAAATTACTGCTGCTATAAATACAAAAAGTCGTTCAATTGTACATGTGGGAAAGACATTTTTATATGAACAAATAGACCTTGATTTGGCAACCGCATATTTCCTGGGATGTGAAAAAATGGTCAATAATTTAAAAATGAAAGATGCGCAAGAAGGAATTAAAAGTTTCATCGAGAAAAGAAAACCCGTTTGGAGTCACGATTACGTAAAAAATTAATGCATACTGTTACGTATACAATGCTACCAATGAACAACTAAATGATACAACTGTTGCAAAAAATATAAGTTTTCTACTGTTATTTTCTAAATAAAATATTGTTACATAACTGTGTACGTAGTGTTTATTTAAGTCTTTATTTTTATTACTACTAGGAAAAATGATCAAAATCATATTACTATAATCGGGTTAGCCTATCATCGCATAACAGAATTTTATTAATTGAGGCCTATACGATAACCTCTAGAAATGAAAATGTACGCGTAACAGATATCATGCATAATACGAAGTTCAAACCACTATAAAAATTCAGAGTTTAAAATAATCAATTAATTAGAAAGTTGTATACACAATATTTTGTAGTCCGTACTTTAAAACGTGAGTATAAAACTGTACATAATTTCTTTGATCGCTTATCACAAAGATGAATGAATCATTTATCTTACATCAGTTTACAAACGTGTAGATTCAATATAGATAGAAGAAAAGGATATAAAAAATATATTTTCCTTCACAATTTACAAAAATTTTGTAAATTTGAGACTGCAATTTTGCTTTAGGAATTTAAAAAATTTTTGACCTTGAGATCTTAGAAAATTCTAATCTTTGAAACTTTAACATAGTAGAAATTTGGGTCCCTGAAGATTTCAAACTCTTGGACTTTAAGTTTTTCTAAAATCACATTACAGGTAAGCTGGTTGTAAAAGGTTGTTGTGGTAGATAGTGCTTATCCTTTTCACAAAAGTTTGGGAGTCCCCGATATCAGTAATTAATTATAAACATCTTAAATAATACTTTATCCACATGAAAGAGATACAACGACTTTAAACGCTTTGTTTTGAATTACGCGTGAATCAGTAATTCAACAGTAATCCCATTTAGTTTCGAACAATGCACATTATCAATAAATAGTAGGAAAGCTGTAAGCTCGTCATTCTAGTCCGACGATAGTCATAATAGGTCACATACTGCAGGGCAAAAGGCATGATCCGTCGTTTCCAGAACCGAGGAGGTTTAACGAGATAAAGAAGTCGTGGTGGTCGACGTTGATCTCGAAGGACGCTGATATCTCGACTCGTCATACAGACTCTTTCTTTTCTTTTTATAATTTTGTCATGTTGCTCCCCACTTATTCAGGACCAGACGAGTTCATAAATCGACTCCAATGTTCATACGTGATGCTAGTACAACGATCACTTCTGACAAAGTTGGTCGAGCGTCCATTGGATTTTTCTTCAGCGACACGTACGACGGAAATAAAGTGCGAGCGTTTAAACTAATCGTTTCGTTCGGTAAGAACAATCGAATCGGTCGATGAGAATTTTTAAGTGTTTTGATAGTGGCTGCATGAGGTTGCGAACGATCTTGCGTGAAAATCGAAAGTTGCGGAAGGCCAAGGGTATTCACCCTGAAACTAAGGTAGCGGAAGAAAACCTGGCAACGATTGTTCAGAGAAAGGTCGCCGAGCTGTTGTTTGAAAATTGCTCTGGTACGTTTTTAATGTTATAAACAAGTTGAGAATCTAAGATGTAATTGTTACTACAAGTTGATATTGTTACCGCGTTATAACTATGATTGAATAGTTACTGCAATTAGTTTATTTTAAATAATGGAAACGGTATGATCATTCTAGATTGTGGAAGAATGGCCATTATTCCGCAGGGTGCATTTGCTGCGTGCAAAGTCCGTCGCAATCTTGAACGCAATTCTATGATAACACCGATAGAAGAGAACGAAAAGGTTGGCAAAGAAAATGTCTTCAGCGAGAGACCTCCATTGGAAGGTACTTATCAGATGCTTTATCAGACGTGTACCGTTGTATCTTTATTTTATGACTGCGTCTTAGAATTCGTTGCTGTCAAACAAGCTGACACTTTTTACTTTTTTATTGATATTCGGGTATTATCGGTATTTAATTAAGTTGATTGGGAAATGCTAAAAATACTTATTATAAAGAGCGTTAATTTTGGGTTAAGTCAAGTGATATCAATTGAAGATTTGAAAATAAATTTAATAGAAGAAGAGAATCTGGTTCATGTTCTTGATGCAGTTGGAAATGCCTTTTATCTTTGTTTGAAATTCAAGAGCACTAATTTAATATTCTCAATGAATTACAATTTTCATTTCACTTTTCACTTATCATGAAAATTTATAGAAATAGGGGTAACTAAATTACAAGTTGAGTGACAAAGAGAAAAGAAGTATTTGATGTAGTATAATAGACTTGTAAAATTTGTATGGGTTTAAGTTCACTTTTGAAAATAATTTTAATAATGCTCTTCAAAGTACAGCCTTACAAAGTTTTAAAATTCTAAAATTTACAAATTACAAATTCTAAAGTCCTAGAGTCGTAAATTTTACCTAAATTATACCAACGACGAATTGACTTAAAAAACTGAGTAAAAATAAAACCTGAAATGATTTCATTTTCATTTTGCAGGTTGGGAGCTCACCCCCTTGAAATACAATAGTAAATTAATGAACAGCATCTGGGGACTGTACAATCGTTATTCTGTGCACAATTTCAAGAAAAACAATGATTCGATTGAAGGGGTGTTTGGGTCGTTCGTGGCGGTTTGGGGGGCGATTTGCCAAAGCTACGCACCCGCCGCGAACTCGGTGGCTGCAACCGCAGCCGCCAAAAACAATTCATAAAATAGGTCCAATATCCAAAGAAAGTTCCATTTATTCTCTTCTCCAACGAACAACTCGCTATTAGTTCGAGAATAATCGTGACAATTGGAACCAAGCTCTGACAACAATTATTGACAGGAAATTGACGTTCGATGATTTTCTTAGAGAATCGTGTAAATTGCAGTTATAGAGAATTTTATGGCAGTATTTTTAATTGTATTTTCTAAAAGACTGTTGCCAATAGTACATATGTAATCATTTTAATTCGATATCAAAAACGATGGAGACGAAATAAATGTATTTTATTTAACTTGTAAAAGACTGTAACGATATTGGTGTATTAGAATGATTAACCAACAGTTATATATAATATGTAATAAATATAACGATATGAATAAAATGAAATAAAACAGTCCGCTAAATGTTATGTTATTTTGTTATTTAAAACTGAAATGTATTATAGAATGTAAACTGTTTAAGCTTTGAACAAGATGAGGGTTTATTTTCACGGTGTTATATTCAAAACTAAACGATTTGAAAATATTTTCACCGTGAAGTATTTGTTCGAGTAAAATCATTTTAATCCAAAAAACTGTCTGAAGAGAGAGTCAAATCAGAGGTAGGTCCAACGTAGATGACACTCTTCTCGAAATGATTCCAATCATCCTCTTCTCGTTTCTTTTTATGCACCACGTAGGTTCTTGGTTTCCTACGTTCTGTGAATTCATCGATTTTATTGGAGCTATCAGAAATATTGAGTTCTAAATCCACAGACACTGACGAAAAAGACCCTTGCGTACTATTGTCGTACGAAACATCTTTCAATCTCTTCATAATTTTATCCACAGAAAGTTTATCGTCGATACCATCGACTGTTTCGGTATAATTATTTTTTCTCTTTTTATCGCGCGAACGTTGTTCGTTGAACTTTTTCGGATAATCGCTACTGCAAACTGTAAACGTACTTTCGTTCGAGCTTTTTATGATTTTCTTGGTGATAACAGCATTTTTGATCTTGGACAAGTAGAGGTTCGGATGTTTGGATTGTAATTTCATTGTTTTGCGGTTTCTCTTCAATTTAGGTAAAGTGGTTTGAGTGGACGCGGTTTGTTTATCGATATTTGATGTTTCCATATTTTGTGAAGATTTAGATCCATTCGTCGGTAAATTAGAGGGGAGATTGATATTCGAAGAAAATGGAGTTTCTCGAGAATCTAATTCGCAGCTGATATCTGAACATTCCTTCTGAAATATTTTATTTTTTGTTGCTCCATATTTCGTGAATTGTTCTCCACTTTTTAGATTTTCTAGATCCTCGAATTTCACTTCTGTTTGATTACCTTCGTTTCTTAAATATTTCACTCTAGTTGGTATTTGGCACATGTCTTCTCGTTTTCCAATTCGAAAAATGTAATTTAACAAGGAAGGCACTGGAGGATCCGTATTAGAGCAAGTATAGTATGCCTAGTAGAAACATATTTAATAATGATTCATAATCATGATACTATTGAACAGGTGTCTAAAAATAATACTTAAGAAATGCTAATTTTGTTTAATATTAGCTTACATTTTTAAAACAGTAAATTTCAACTAAAGTATACTTTAATGAAGCATAACTTGCTCCACGGTAAATAATTTTAAAGAGTTTTATTTTTAATACAAGTTCATTAATTTGCCACGATAATGTTAATTTAAAAATTCGTCCATATCATCTTACATATTATTAATTACTGATACCTTAATTATTTTAGCGAAAATTTGTTTACCTCTTGACCGTCCGCTCGTCCGTTCTTCATCGAGTTTATGCTCGTGATTTTCCTCACGTACCTCTTAAATTTTTTGAACATATTTTTCGTGTTATCAATTTGTCCCACAGAATCCTTTTTCAGATAATTAATTTTTAACGCGTCGATTTCGGAACGTAATTCATCCAGATTATTCGCGAGCATCTTAACCTGATCAATCACTTGTCCCATTTTGCGTTGATCCCGGCAACAGATCTGCACCGACATGTTGACCCCATCAAACTAATTAAACTTTTATCAGATACAGTTCCCGACGAAACAAATTGCACAATTGCATTCATCTACAATGCACGTGGAACGATATCCATTATAAAAATTATATCTTATTCGTCAAGAATCAAAATTGTTTCTTTTATGAAAGAAAAATTGAAAACGACAGGATGAATCGTATGGTATAACCAAGACAGTATAAACAAAGAATTTGAAGTATTATACATATGTAATAGGGAACAAGAACAATTCACGATCAGACATACTAGTTTGTAGTACAACGTCACTAAAGAAAATTTCTAAAATTTATACACTGTTTAAAATTTTTTAATTCTTGAATTTAGAGATTGAAGAGTTTTCAAGTATACAATTTTGAGAATGTTTAAACTTGTAAAAGTACTTCCAAGATTGTTGATATTAATATAAATTTCCCTAATGTTAACAACAGATATTGAGCCATTTGAGCTACATTTTGATTGTGTATGATGATTCAAACATTCTGAGAGGTAATCAGGATTTTCGGGATTCGTATTAAATATTATTTATTTGATTCGTCGTATGTCCTAGGTACATTGGTCTTCAGTCGGTGTCGTTTGTCCGTAGTGGACTGGCTATCGACGTGTGAAAAGTTTGGTAATACAAAAGAACGAATTTTATCTTCCTCCCTAGTACGTACATCGACACGTAATACTATGCTTGGACTTCGATTCCTATGTACAACTTTAGCGTTTGTTAAAACATAATGTTCGTATCTCGAGGGACCTCGCGAGGACCTATCGTCGTGTCCCTTCGAAAGCGTCTATCACAACAGCTCTAACCGTTAAGATGCAAAAATAACCATAAAAACGAATAAAAATGATCAACGCGACGATTACGCGCGCACGCGAGTGCCACGCGTTCATAAGAAATTTATTTGTAATTTCATCTATACAATTCGTTGTTCGCGAATTATCGCTGACTCATAAACTCGAGCTGTGAAATGGCATCGTAGTAAACGTATTTCAATAAATTAATCGTACAAAAAGAATTGTTCAGTGCGACAATCGCGTAGTGATGTCGTGGTTCCCTTTTCTTCCCTTGCGCACAGGCGTTTTCTCTGGAATGCTGTTGTTCGAATATCGTCTCGTTCCTTGCGACACAAATCGCAGGGTGTACTTTTGTTCTAGCGAGTTCTACACATCGAGGTAATCGGGTTGCACGTTATCATCGTCCACGAATTTCGTTCTAACAATACCTTGGGCACGAGTTCTCGGCCAAGAAGCGAATCTGCTTGATCATCGAGCGCATTTGGTGTACATGATCTTTTGTGACATTCAACAATAGCGATAGTCAAATGCTCCTTCACAATTTTATGACACTGGAGTGTATGGTTAGGTTGGGTAGGTACAAGAGTACAAGACATCAGTAATCTCCTAAGATTGTAAACATTGGAAATTTTCAAATTTAGAAATACAGAAATGAATCTTTAAATACTAGAATTTCTAAATCTCTAAACCTTCAAATTTCCAAACATTCCTTAACTCTAAATTTTGAACTCTGGAGACAAATTTCTAAATGCCCAATAGCCACCATACTCGCCAGTGCATCGCGATGCCACGTTTAAAAGCGACCCTTCCGCTCTTACCTATTAATACTGATAACCGTTAATGAAAACGAGACCGTTAACATGACTCGACAAATCTGCTCGCTTCTTGCCGGAGAACTCTCTATTATCGCGGACACGGGTTAATCAACGTTCCTCCAGAGCGAATCGGACGCATCGAGCGTACCGACTTCTAATACTTAGCATCTAACACGTAACCTAACGCGTCTAACGGTACATAAATAACATAGAAGACGAAATATCAGAGAAAGAAGTAAAAGTGACCGATCGAGTCTTCGATTGTCGAGCAACGGATCTTCGTTACGTTGGTCGATTCTTGGTCCCTCTTTCTCTTCCGTTTTTGTGGCACAGCCTTGTTCCTCCTGCTCCACGTGTGCCTCCTTACGAGTTTCTCTCTTCGAGCACCACGAAGCGACGGTGATTTGAAGACCATTTTGTAGCGTCGAAGGAGACAGCACGGAAATGGACGTCCCGGTCCTGGAGAGGATTCTCACCCGGATTCACCCACATGGCTTTGGGTCACGTCTCCCAGCTTGGTTCTGAGCTGTCGTTCTCGTGTCCCGGCCATCGGCTCGTTTCACAATGAAATTCTTCGAGTACTCTCGGGCGTGGATACGCACAGGTGTCGTGTGCACTCCATGGACTAGCTCAGTTTAATCGGCCATAGTACGGTCTGTCGGGAATTCGGGGAGGAATATTGGGGACGGGACGCCTATAACACAGACAGTGATTAAGTATTCGGTGACGTTACCCGACGCGTACGAGACGCGGACATGATTAGGTTGCTTTAGAACGAGTAAAGCCATGATGAAAATCAACCCTTTGAATGTCAAATTAGCTCGAGTTACAATGGAACTTGAAATAACTTTTTTTCAGATAACGTTATTTTTTTCTTATTATGGATCCTCATCGTCGATCTAGGATTTATATACTAGCAAATATTACGTTCTGTTTTGAACATCTTCCTTATTCTGGTCAAATGATTCGCACAAACTTTGATGAATTTACTTAAAGTTTAAACCAATACATTTCTCGCAGACTTTTTATACTTACAAATTAGAAATTTTCTAAAGTGCTATACTACAAGATAAAAGATATAGCTATGTTTTCAGTTTGATACAGTAATAAAAATAGAAACTGCTCGAAACCTTCATATAATGTAAAAAAAGTTATATACTTAAAATTAAATTTTATCTTGAATTAATTAATTTTGCCACATTCAAAGGGTTGAACATAACTCGATGACCAACTAAATTTCCCTTCGAAACTTTGAAGAATGTGAGAAACGTTCGACAAGTTCGAACCGAACAAATTTAATTGGAGATCGTACACACTTATCGATAAGCAATGATGTGCGAATGATCATATACTCAAAGTTGAATATTTTTAAATGCTAATGAAAACCAGCGATGAAGAAAGTAACAGTATAATCGTCGAATGTATGTGCGTATCATCGTCTCCAATACAAGTAGAACATATAAATAACGATGTAAACACGCAGTAGATGATTATGCAATATGAAAATATATAAATAGATTACGTGTGAATAAATAAACAATACAATTAAAGCGATGCTGATGAGTATGATCTGCCAAAACGAAAAATGATACAGAAAAAAAACATGATTTGCACAACATGCTTAAGCAATAGCAAAACCCATGCAGACATGAAGAGACGAAAAAAAGGACGTTCGTGATGCATTTTTTGGGAATATAATCCTTTTTAATGTAGATCCAAACGTCCTTTGGTACGAACAAATATAATTGAATATATTGATATTACTTCACGAGATAAAATCCTGGACTGCTTAAGAGTAAAATATGGTTAAAAAGGTAGCAGACGTGTGTGCGAGGGAAGTTGAGGGAAAAGGTCCGATCAAAGAAAAAGAACGCAGAACGCGAATACGCATTCCAGCGTGCGGGGATATTTAGGATTCCTTCTGTTAAAAATAATCTTTGTTATTGCACGCAGTACGAAGCGAAACCAGAGGAATTAGTGGTATATGTACACTTACAGTGTCGAGCATGGTGCAATTTCTTTGGGACAATGGCGACGCGAGGGAAAAAGATATACCACTGATTTTAAAGAAATTGGGAGATTGAAAATTTTTGAATTTCTAAGTTGAGACATTTGGAAACCACCAGATTTAAATTTGGAAAATTTCAGATTAAAATTTGGAAATAAAAGAATTTACAAATTTATAAATGCATTTTCCAGGATGTCAAACTTTGAAATTTCTATTTTATCAAAGTATAAACTTTCAAATTTTCAATATTTCAAATCTTAAATTTTACAATTTTTATTATTTAAGCTTCATACCTTCAAATTTACAATTTTGCAAATTCCAAGATCTCAAATTTACAACTTTGCAAATTCTAAGCTCTCAAATTTACAATTTTCCAAATTCCAAGCTTTCAAATTTACAATTTTGGAAATTCCAAGCTCTCAAGTTTACAATTTTGCAAATTCCAAGCTCTCAAATTTACAATTTTTCAAATTCCAAGCTTTCAAATTTACAATTTTGCAAATTCCAAGCTCTCAAATTCAAAATTCTCCAGATTTCCAAATCTCCAACTACTAAATCTTCCAAATTCTCAAATTTTCGAATCTGTCAAATATACAACTTCTAAATTTTCAATTCTCTAATTTCCCAAGTTTCTAAATCTCCAAGGTCTTAAATTCTCTACGCCGCCATTTTCCTTAGATCCATGCTCGGTACCGTAATTGAAGAAGAAAAAAACAACATATCAGTGATTAATAATTAATAATTGATTAGTGATCAATTAACATTACACGGCCAACAACAATAGTTATTTATAATAAAAATATTCAGCCGCAAAGATTGTTGCACGAATTGAAACGGGTATATTTCCCCGGCGGAAATGCGTTTCCGGTCGACGGATATCTATAAATTTCTCTCGAATTCTCGTTCTTTTATACATATATATAGATATATACAGACGTGTATATATAGATATATATATATAAATATTTATATATTTATAATCTATAACATGTTATAACCTATATACACATTTATATTGCAATAAAACAGTGTATGTATATCGCGCACGCGTACCGCGATATTACAACATGAATCGTGGGTGAGGTGCACAATTCGAAAGGAAATATTCGCCATATAACCCTTTCGTCAATGTTTCCCTTGCTCGTTACACGAATTTCCCGACAACAACGATCGAGAATGAGTCAATACACGGTCGGGCGAGCAATCGAACTCTTGGATGTAGAAAAGAATGTCTATAAAAATCAGTATAACAGGTATCAAAATGATGATCAAGGTTTACTAGCCACAAAATGGCGAACAGCTCCAACGTTCTCGTGAAACACGATACTCGATTTACTTCTCTCGAAGGTTCACCAATGATGGCGTGTTCATACATTTTTTACGATGTTCTTAATATATAAATATTTCAGAGTTCTCGGTATTTATGGATAATACTGAATTATTGAGAACGTTGATTATGAGAATCCTGAAATATTGACAATTATTAAACTAAATATGTTTCACTCGGATAAAATTTTTTATTGTTATACAATTTAAAATATATTAAATGTAAGTAACTTGTTTAACAATTTTATAAAGTACCCAGCAGCTGGAAGTGTTATAATCGTAGATAAGTTTTATATTAGAACAGTATCTTGCAAAATATTTGTTTCATAACGGAAAAATATGTGACGTGATCTCATAAACAAATACAGCAAGAAAAGTTCTAACTTTCCATAAGTTTCACTAAACATACGTCTACTCTAAGGGTTAAAAGTTAACACTGATGATTAATTCTTTTTTAATCTAATTCAGCTATT